ATTAGAAAATTCACTAGCATTAGAATAGCTGCATGCTGTTACTATAGATACCTGACTTCTCAGTAATAATTCCATGCCATCTCTATATACAGAGATTCTGAGTAACTTATTTAAACATTTTGTACAGATTTTAACATGCTTTCCTAGACATAGGGCCTAAGTAGACTGCCAGAAATAGTGCACATTAAATTGAGGCACTGCCCTGGCTCAGTGCTAGGGAATCATGGGAACTGTAATTTATTGTGGCACCAGAGCTCTCTGACAGGGAAGGCTCAATGTCTCGGGAAAAAATGCAATTCCCATGATTCCCTAGCACTGAGCCAGGGCAGTGCCTCAATTTAATGTGCACTATTTCTGGCAGTCTGCTTAGGCCTATAGCGATGTGAAGTATGCAGACAATCTGTGTACAAATGCTTTGAAATTTCATGAAATTGACATGAATGCAAATGCATGAGGCAATACATTTGAAGTTTTTCTACCAGGCAATACATTTTTAAAAAGAAAAAAAAATCCAAATACATTTGACTGAGACATTACTTTGTGGGATTTTTAAAAAGAAAAACATCCCAATGGATAGTTATACTTGTAAGGACTCAAGTACTAACAATCAAGCCAATCTCTGCAAATTAGGGCCTTTGATTTCTACTGGGATCTAAACAGCTGCATGCAACCATGGCTAAGTTTTATGAACATGAGTAGCTTTGGTTTTCACAAGTTCATGCCTCCTTTCTTCTGCTCACATGTGGAGACTGGAAAGTGCTTTTCTGGTTTTCAGGGAACATTAGTTCATGATTTTACACAAGCTCAGAAAACACTGGATTGTACAAACCATAGTTTCCTTGTAAAGCAGTGATGCTTTTACACTACAGAGGATTTTATCATACGGGAACAATGGAATTATCCCATAAAAATCATGCATTCACAATTAAGATTTTCAAACAACGTTGCAATTAAAGGAGGGCAACTAAAATGGTGAAGGGTCTGGAAACCAAGCCCTATGAGGAATGACTTAGGGAGCTGGGGATGTTTCGACTGGAGAAGAGAAGGCTGAGAGGTGATATGATAGCCATGTTTAAATATTTGAAGGGATGTCATATTGGGGAGGGAACAAGCTTGTTTTCTGCTGCTCCAGAGACTAGGACCCGAAACAATGGATGCAAGCTGCAGGAAAAGAGATTCCACCTCAACATTAGGAGGAACTTCCTGACAGTAAGGGTGGTTCGACAGTGGAACACACTCCCTCGGAGAGTAGTGGAGTCTCCTTCCTTGGAGGTCTTTAAGCAGAGGCTGGATGGCCATCTGTCGGGGATGCTTTGATTGGGAATTCCTGCATGGCAGGGGGGTTGGACTGGATGGCCCTTGTGGTCTCTTCCAACTTTATGATTCTATGATTCTAAATGGCCATTATCCCGGGAATATCCCAGGAATATCGCACAATTGCGATAAAGCTTTTTACACTACATTGCATTGAAAAGTAATTAAAGTGGCATTCACCCATGAATAACCAGGCGATAAACAGCAATAAATCATTCATGGAAAAATCCCAAAAATGCTTTCTTGTGTTTATTGCCTTGTTATTCCCAGGATAATGGCTCTTTTATCACACTATGGGGGGAAGCACACGAGTGCTTCCAGGATGCCGCCGGATGGAGTGCCGCGGGACCGCAGCCTCCGCACCGCGGCGCTCCTGCGGCGTCCCTGAAAGGAGCGCCAAATTGGCACTCCTTTTAGAAGACAGGGAAAGTGCACCCTAAAAGCGTAGGGTGCACTTTCCCTGCCTTTTCCACCGCAGCATGTGAGGACGCTGCGGCTGGAGGTTGCCTCTGGAGCGCCGGCCGTGTGGAGGGCCGGCAGCTCTGAGGGCAACCTCGGGAAGAGGAAGGGGTGCCGCACGTGCAATTTTATTGTGCAATTAGTAATTGTGCAATTTTCACGAGATAAACCCTGTTTAAACTTCCAATTTCCTTCTGTGTGATAAGGCAGAATGTTATAGCATTCTGATTCCATTTTAATGCATCCATCCTCTTGGATTTTGCCATTCAGGGAGATGTATTTAAAATTTTGGGTCAGAAAGCTACAGTGCTTCAGCAAACCACAAACACCAGGTTTCCATGGCATTATGCCATGGCAGTTAAAGTGGAATTAAAGTGTTGTAACAGTTTAGTGTGAAAGGACACCAGGATTTTAAATCTAGATTCCTAAAACTATGATTAGAAGCTTTTATCTAGTATACAAAACTGAAGGAATGAAGACGCCCACATGTACAAGTCTTGTAACACTAAACTTTGTTTGTGTATGTTATTAATGGGCAGCTTTTAATGGTAAAAACTCCCCGCTGCAAGGTGACATTGAAGAAAAAATAAACAATTCAAGGCCATCAATACAGAAAACTCAATTGGACAGGCGACACCTGACTTGGTAATATACATACAAAACATTTTAAAGGTCTTGGTAAACCATAAACTACATATGTGGTGGCCAAAAGAAAAGCCAATGCAATTCTAGGCTTCATTCTAGGCTTCATAAATGGGAACATAGGGCCTCAGCAGACGGAGGCCCCGGAGACGCCGCCAGACGTAGTGCCGCGGGACCACAGCCTCCGCACCGCGGCGCTCCTGCGGCATATCTAAAAGGAGCTCCAAATTGGTGCTCCTTTTAGATGTCAGGGAAAGTGCGCCCTAAAAGCGGCGGGCGCACTTTCCCTGACTCTTCCGCCGCAGCGCATGTGGTCGCTGCGGCGTGAGGTCATCCCCGGGGCACCGGCCGTGCGGAGGGCCGGCGACTCCGAGGGCAACCTCAGGAAGAGGAAGGGGCGCTGCTCGTGCTGCTGCCCCTCCTCTTCAGGGCCTCCAAGACGACTCTATTAGTCATCTGCCGAGGCCCATAGTGTCCAGATTAAAGGAAGCAGCGTGCCATTGTATTTCACTTTGTTTAGACATCGCTGGAATACTGTATTCATTTCAGGGCTTCCCCTCCCTGACTAACATTCCCTTTTCCTTGTGTGTCATGTCTTATTTAGATTGTAAGCCTGAGGTCAAAGAGCTGTCAAAGAGCTGAATAATTTGCTAGATGCTTTGTCTTTTTGGCTGAAGGGTGGGATAAAAATGCTCTAAATAAACTAATAAATCTATTGACAAGATGGAATATGTCCAGAGGAGGGTGATCAAGATGATGAAAAGTTTGGAAACCAAGACTCATGAGGAACAACTTAGAAGCTGAGTATGTTTAACTTGAAGAAGATTGAGAGAAGATGTGATAGCCATTGTGAGGATTCTCTGGTCCCCCTTCCTTCTCCTGCCTGAGCTGGATGGGATCCCTTGAGACCATCTTTTATCTAAAGAACTCACTGCAAAACAACCAATAATTAACTCCTCCCCCTTTAGCATACACCAGAGCATTGCTGGGAATTCTACTGGCACTTCCCTTGCCAGGGAAGAACTGGGCCAAGCTAAGGCATGTGAAAAGGAGTGCAAGAGAGGCAAAGGACTTTAAAGAAAAAAGCTTTATTCCAATTAAGAAAATTCTATAGCAAAAGAATATATCCTACATGAAGAACCAACTTATTCTCTAGGCACAGATAGAAAGTTTAGGTTACAGAGTAAAAATATTTTAGACATATCAAGAAAAGAATCAAAATATTCCAACACAACTGGCTGGTTTTGTTGTTCTGTGCCTTCAAGGCTTTTCTCACTTATGGTGACTCTAAGGCAAACTTATCATGGGGTTTTCTTGGAAAGATTTGTTCAGAGGAGGTTTGCCATTGCCTTCCCCTGAAACTGAGAGCATGTGACTTGCCCAAGGTCACCCACTCAGTTTCATGGCTGAGTGGGGAATTAAACCTGGTCTCCAGAGTTGTAGCTCAACACTCAAACTGCTATGCCACACTGACAAGTTTACCCAGAAGTAAACTCTACTATGATAAGACATAGCAGTCAAGTTCTTACAACTGCATTTAGCTTTGTACACATAGCCCTGCGGCAAGGCAGCTGTTGGTGGAGAAGAAAGCTGGGGGCATTGATTCAGACCATGGAGAAGCAGTTGGTCTTAGTGTGACATATAATAGTGTTCTGTGCTTTCATGCAATTTCATCTTATAGTGACCAAAATGGACCTATGATGGGATTTCTTGGCAATATTTGTCTCCAAATTCATAGTCCAACAGTCAAACCACAATACCACGTTGGCTCCCTATTCACAGATCAGATGAGATTTGTAATCCCTGATGTTCATGGGATACTGGGAGCTAGGACTCTATTGTCCAGCTTCGACCAGCCTTCCCACATCCAGAGCTTTTGGCCAGAAACATTTCATGGTCTGGTTAGAGAGAGCCAGAGACAAATGCCTCATGGTGTTTTTTATAACCTCTGCTCAGAACCATCTCAAAAATCTGGCTTTTCCCAGTTGCCCATCTCATTAGACAGTTGCTGTCTCATCACCTCTGTGATGCTGCCTCATAAAATGTAACAATAACTCTACACACATTTCAACTCTTTGTTATCTTGGAAGAAGCTCTGGTAAAGGATGGGACTCCCATTTATCATAGCCATCTTTAAATATCAGAAGGGATGTCATCTAGAAGATGGCACAAGCTTATTTCCTGCTGTTCCAGGGAGCAGAATACAAATCAATGGGTTCAGATTAAAAGAAAAGGGATTCCACTCAATGTTAGGAAGAACCTCTTTACTGTAAGAACAGTTGGGCAGCACAATATCTTGGAGGGTAGGGGGGTTGCAGACTGCCAGAAATAGTGCAAATTGAGTCCACT